CTCTGTCTCAAAAGAAAAAGAAAAAGAAAGAAACAAACTATCATCAAAGTCTCCTAGGAACCTCTAATTCTTGCCTCCTACCAAAAAAAAAACCCCAGTATTGCAGTGCCTCATTTCTCTGACTGTATTTCCCACAGTATACCTTCATATGATTTCTACACCTCAACTATCACTCTGCCAATGTATCATCTAGGTGACGAAGGTTAGAAATACTAACTTGTCCTTTTCAAGATCTACATTTGACTCACTGAAAGATATCCAAAATTTTAACACGGCATATACGCATACATTTCTTCAACAAACTGGGTTCCTACCATACACCACGCACTACGGTAGCCGCTGGAAACGATGCGGTGAGAGACCCTGTCTTGACTTTCAGAGCACACTTTCAGAGGAGACCTAAACAATATGAGAATTGTATTTGATGCTGTGGGAAGACAAAGGAGAGGCACCTGGAGGAAACTTGGAAACCACTGAAAGATACTAAATAAGGAAGTAATTTAATAGCCCTGCCAGGGAACTAGGTGGAAGGGAGACAGATAGCAGGAAGAACACTGTTTTGACAATGAGGAGGGGAAAACTGGGGAAGGTCTGTGTGTAAGGAGGTCCTGGACCTGGGTAAAGAGAAAAGGGCAGGGCCAGCCAGGAGGCAGAATTGATTCAGTGATAGATTTGCTGTAAGCGAAAAGGCAGAAAGAATCTAGGTTGGTTGACCCATGCTGTCACCGTAAGCATGACAGTAACAGGTTTAGGGGAGTAAGACAGGAAGGGGACGATGACTTTGGTTTTTTGACTGTGTTGATGTTGAGGTATACGATATCCAAGAGGGGATGTTCACTAGTCAATTGGATGCAAGGCCTGGGACTCTAGAAAGGTCAGTGGATATAAGGTTAGATAATTATTTATTAATTTTTATTTATTTATTTTGAGATGGAGTCTCGCTCTGTCACCCAGGGTGGAGTGCAATGGCACTGTCTCTGCTTACTACAACCTCTGCCTCCCAGGTTCAAGTGATTCTCCTGCCTCAGCCTCCTAAATAACTGGAATTACAGGCGCCTGCCACTACGCCCTGCTAATTTTTGTATTTTTAGTATAGACAGGATTTCACCATGTTGGCCAGGCTGGTCTCGAACTCCTGACCTCATGATCTGCCCGCCTCAGCCTCCCAAAGTGCTGGGATTATAGATGTGAGCCACCAGGCCCAAGCAAGTTTAGAGATTAATTAGACTGGTTGGTTTGGGTTGCCCAGAAGAGTGTGTAGACTGAGAAGAGAAAAAGGCGGAGGACAGAGCCCTGGAACATCTTAAGCTATGGCTAAAGAACCAGAAGCAAAGACACAGTGGACAGTGGGCACAGAGACAGGAAGGAAAAAAGCAGTATCACGACCATGAAGAGAAGACAGTTTCTGAAAGGGAAAGATGTCAATGGTGGGTGTCACATACCACAGAGAAGTCAAGGTAAGAAAGGAAACTCATTTTTGGGACTTATTTGAAGAGCCATAAATGCCCTAACAAATTAGTAACTTCTTAAGTTTCCTGGGACGTCTTTATTGCCAAAATAACCTCAGATAGCCATACTTCTTTTATTTATGTTGTAGTTTTATGTTTATTAAAGGTAATCCTATAAGTGAATCTATAATTATTTTAAAATAAAAAGTTTTTAAAAATAGCCATAATTTTTTAAAAGAGATTCAAAAATATTTACATTTTTCCAGTAAAACCTCACATTAGCTAACGTGGTAACGGGGAGATCCCCCCCCCGCCCCCGTCACCTCCTTCTGTTTCCCAGTCTCCACCTCCTCCCTCCCTCCCTCCCCTCCAGTTGGGAAGGAGGGTGAAAAAGAGAAAAAATAAAATAAAATACCAAAGAGCTAGGAAGATGACTCCCTTTTCAGTTCCTAGCGTCTCTGCTATCTGTAAGCCTTGGAAAGGTTGCAAATGAATGTTATCCCTACAGTCTGGAGCCTGGCACTGGGTCATGCCCCCACATCTGCATGGTCCAGTCTCCCTCCTGAAACACCCCTGCCAACTAATAGTTTACTGCCTTTGCCTTGTCTCTGTAAGCCCCCTCCCCTGCCGGTCCCCGCTCACACTGCATATGAATTAGCAAATCAGTAAAGCCAAAGGACTGTAAGGTCGGACGTCCAGCAAATGGACAATGACAGTTTTGCCTCAGTTTCGCCTTTAGTGTTGTAAGCCTATAAAAGGTGAGAGAAGCTGCTTCTCCGGGAGCTCGGTAAATGAGGCTGTAACCGACCCCCCCCCCACGCCCCTGTAGCTCCCGGCAGAATAAAAAGCCACTTTCTTCCTCAGTTCCGTGTTCGAGAGGTTTGTTCCTCACTGCTCCTGCTTCAGGAGGACTCACCAACTTGAATAGCTACAGGGGCCAGGCAAGGAAAATGAAGAGTTAAGCAATTTGATCAAGGGCGGGGTAGGGGCAGGTAATAACTCAAAACCCAAGTCCTTTCTAAAAAGAGCAGCCAATAGCCAGTTTTCACTGTATGGCCCTATGGGCCAATCTTGCCAGGTCATCTGGTTTTTTGAGAAAAGCCAGAAACGTGAATTTTTACATAAAATCTCCCAATTTTCAAATGTAGCCAGTGAATTTGATTTTTTTCAAAATGCTTTGTAAATGTAACAAAATACATTGAGAAGAAATTAAGTTGTAAATAAGAAAGGAGGCTGAGGAGGAAGGATCACTCACAAGCAGTAATAGAGCTGGATTTACGCCTGTAATTCCAGCACTTTTGGAGGCTGAGGTGGGCAGATCACCTGTGGTCAGGAGTTTGAGATCAGCCCGACAAACATGGAGAAACCCCACCTCTATTAAAAATACAAAATCAGCTGGGTGTGGTGGTGCATGTCTGTAATCCCAGCTACTCAGAAGGCTAAGGTAGGAGAATTGCTTGAACCCCGGAGGTGAAGGCTGCAGTGAGGCGAGATGGTGCCATTGCACTCCAGCCTGGGCAACAAGAACAAAACTCCATCTCAAAAAAAAAAAAAAAAAAAAAAAAGAGCTGGATGCAGAATCTAGTTCTTCTAGTTCCCAAACTGTTATGTCCTTCCTATTTGATAATACAGCTTCTTTACCTAACAAATGAAATACACACACACACACACACACACACACACACGTTAGTCAGACATGCAAGTTAATCACAGCATGCTGTAATAAATTTAGGACAGACACAGCATAAGCTTCCCATTTAATTAATCCAGATGCTGTCTCTCTTGAAATGTTTACAAGCAGGAGCTACAGATGAGTCATCAAATCAATTGTCTTTGCCTCACAAATTCTGCTTTAAAAGTACAGGACACAATTATAGCACAGTTTTGAGCAAAATTATAACTCAGCTAAACAAATATCTTTATATCAAGTAATAACATCATGTAGATATTATAAGTTTCTGGAGAAAAGTTTAATTATTGCAGAGCTGACAGAAAGCCGGACTCCAATTATTAAGACTTTAAGTACTGGGCGCTGTGGCTCATGCCTATAATCCCAGCACTTTAGGAGGCTGAGGCAGGCCGATCACCTGAGGTCAGGGGTTCAAGGCCAGTCTGGCCAACAAGATGAAACTCCATCTCTACTAAAAATATGAAAATTAGTCGGGCGTGGTGGTGGCATATGTAGTATTAACTACTCAGGAGGCTGAGGCAGGAGAATCGCTGGAACCCGGTGGTGGAGGCTGCAGTGAGCTGAGATTGTGCCACTGCATTCCAGCCTTGGCAGCACAGTGAGACTCTGTCTCAAAAAAAAAAAATTTTTTTTTAGTACGGACTATACCCATCCATTCACTCAACATATATGATGAACCTACAATTCCCTGTTCACTAGGGACAGATTTTCCAGCTCAGGGTATATACATCTAAGCTAATTATTTTAAATAAAACACAGAGTGAGCGCTACAGGAGTCCAGAAGCAATGGGCTAGCATAGCCACTAATCCTCTCTTTGTTAACAGATCTCTAAAGTGAAGTAGGCTGATTTTGCAAAATCCAAAGTCTCAGAGCTAGTGGGCTTGGTGGGAGACAGACCCACGTGCTCTGACTGTAAGTCCACAGCTGAGATACCGTGAACAAAAAGGAATCACTTTTTTGTATTGTACTCGCTCCCAAGCAGTCAATGCACTCCTTTGTAAAGTCACTTTCGCCAACAGAGTCCTAACAAATGTTAGCTATGTCCTCTGATTTAAGCCACTCAGCTCAACGTCATGTTTTGTTTTCCTTTTGGAAGTCACCAGCTAGCTCGGACTTGAAAGACGTCTTCTGTGCAAGGGGAGGCAAATCTTGCTGGCTGGAAGCAGCAGAGTCCATCTGGCGCCAGGATCATCTGAATCTAGCAGTCTTTACATAAACTCTAACCCAAATACAAACCCACCAGCTTTTACTGCTGAAGTTTAATATTCACAGCAACACCACAACGTGGCCTCGCGTTGCCACCAGGCCGGGCTTGAGCTTTTGCTCCATCTGGGCTTGGGCGATCTAAAACGAGGGGCAGGGCCTGCATTTCCTGGGTGAAATGCTATTTATAGCCAGGGCCAGGAGAAGCCAAATCAGACAGCAGCTGCGCTACAGCGCGGGGCCGCCGCCATGCAAGCAGGTCTCACACCGCTCACCTTCACAGTCGGCCCCCGGCCGCCCCCAGGTCTCCTGGCCCTGCGCCAGAACCGGGTGAGAGACCCAAAGCCCGGCGCAAAAGGCCACCACGGCAGCTGGGCTCGCGCACCACATGCTAGACCAGCAGCTTCAATCACCTCCGCCACCGGCGCCCACCGCCCACCGCGGTGCGGAAGAGGGCTGAGGCGTAGAGTGAGAGGTTGGAAAGAATCTGCCCTTAGTTGCCAGGACAAGTGACGCAACTGAACTGAGAGTTTCCATTGGCTTTCACGGAAGGGGCAGGAAGGAGGCGGAGCGAAGGAGCCTTTCCCGGCCCTCCCCCGCTGCGCCTGCGCACGTGCAGTTCCCCCCCCTCGCGCCCCGCCCCCCTGCCTCGAGCACGTAGAGACGCGCTGAAGCTACTCGCCGGCTGCACGTGAAGAAAGGCGGAACCTTCACGCTGATTGGCGGCGACCAGACGCAGGGGGCGGGCGGGAACGTGAAGCTCCGCTGAGCCTGATGGGGCCGTAGGGCGGCTGGTAGCTGCCGCTGTTGGGGGACCCGTTCATTTCTGCCGCCGCCGTCCCTGCCGCCTCATGGCGGCCATCGGAGTTCACCTGGGCTGCACCTCAGCCTGTGTGGCCGTCTATAAGGTGAGGGGCCGCGGAGCTGGATTACGGCTTCATGACGGCCATCCGATTCTCCGGCGCGGGGTCATCCACAGGCTTGAGAGCGGCGTGTCGCCCGCCTAGAGATGTTGTGGAGTGGCGAGGACACTCTGTGCCGAGGGCCTGGCGGTCCCGGCGTCGCCCCCGGCGGCTTCTCCAGAAAGTTCTCTGCTACGCGGCGGAGGCTCCTGGCGACGCAGGCGCGCAGGGTCCCAGGGGCGTCAGGGCGGGGGATACCCGGGGGGGTCCCGGGGATGGCGGGGCCGCGAGAGGCCCGGGGGTCCCGGGGACGGCGGAGTGGCTGGGTGCCCGGGGGATCCCGGAGACGGCGGGGCCGCTGGGTGCCTGGGGAGTCCTGGGGAGGTGGGGGCTGCGAGGACTTTTTTTTTCTGGGGGGGCGGTCATGGGGACGTCCTGGCCTCAGAATCCTGGAACGGCTCTCGCTGATGTCTGGGCCTCAGGATTCCCGTGGGTGGGCGGTTCTAGGGAAGTCGTGGCCGCAGGTACTTGAAGGCGGTGGTCCTGGGGACTGCAAGGCCGCAGTACTCGCTGCCCTGGGCCCTAAAGTCTATGCCAAAGAGGGGCGGGGAGGCTGCAGTACGTAGCTGGAGCTGATGGTCCAGTGAAGCTGCCTGGGTGGGAAGCCAGATTGTTCGTGCCCTACAGAGGTGGCCTTTCTGGAAGGGAGAGCTTGACAGGACTTGTGGCCTTTCTCTCATCAATGGGGATGCAGAAGGAACCATAATCATGAACTGCGCTGCCACTAGTCCCGCGTTTAAATGTCAAATGACTTGTTGGTAAAAGCCAAAGGGTATAATGCCACTTCATTTGTAGAAATAGGGAGAAAGGGACCCGGCGCGATGGCTCACACCTGTAATCCCAGCACTTTGGGAGGCCGAGGCTGGCGGATCACTTGAGGTCAGGAGTTCGAGACCAGCCTGGCCAACTTGGTGAAACACTGCCTCTACTAAAAATACAAAAAAATTAGCCAGGCGTGTAATCCCAGCTGCTCAGGAGGCTGAGGGATGAGAATCGCTTGAACCCGGGAGACAGAGGTTGCAGTGAGCTGAGATCTGCCACTGCACTCCGCACTCCAGCCTGGGACACAGAGCAAGACTCTGTCACAAAAAAAAAAAAGGTAAGTAGAGAAGTAGGAAAGGTAACCTAATACCTAATAACAGGCTTCGTCTTGTGTACAGAAAGGTTATTATTACTTTTGATTCAATTGTTGACTTTGCAGAGCAGAATGAAAACATGAAGCAGTTCTTCATGGAATTATAGGCCTTCTATAAAAACCAGGAAATTAAATGATAATTAAATCTGCGAATTTAAAATATTAATAGAGCGGTATTTCTTTCCACACAGATAGCAAAGTAACACTGGTGCACACGTCTGAATACATCTAATGAGACTGTATTTCATTTCAACAGAACTAATATAGTTGTATTTTCTTCTCTAGGATGGCCGGGCTGGTGTGGTTGCAAATGATGCCGGTGACCGAGTTACTCCAGCTGTTGTTGCTTACTCAGCAAATGAAGAGGTACTAGTCCCCTCATTTTTGTGCTTTTAAAATAATTTAAAATTACATTGATTGTTTTATATGTGTGTATATACATATATATGTGTGTTTTTTTTCAGATTGTTGGGTTGGCAGCAAAACAAAATAGAATAAGAAATATTTCAAATACAGTTATGAAAGTAAAGCAGATCCTGGGCAGAAGGTATGGAATCAAATGATACTTCTAAATATGGTAATAGATACATGTTTATAAATTCTAGGCATAATGTGAAATGAAACTAGAAACAGCATAGTTTGCTTTCTCATTGCTTTTTATGACTGAGTCATTACAGAGAGTACCCCCAGTAGGCTGTTTCTTTTGATTATTAGTGTTGGATCTTCTCCAGTGTGGGAGTCGCTCAGATGTTAGTTTCTTGCTGACAGGTCTGTTAGTATTGATAAATACCAACATTCATTTAATTTTGGTAGTTTGTGTCATTCAGAGGTAGTAATTTGGATTTTTCACATTTTTAGATTTTTTTAAGAGAATTTCAGAGATTTTGTGAGAATTTGAAGACTTTTTGGCAATGTGGTTGAATTTTGCGGAATCTATTACAATTGTTTATATTTTTTGTAGACACTATTGATTTTCTTCCTCAGGATCTTTTGTGACACTTTCTGGGAACTGACTTTTCCCAATGACTTACAAATTTAATCATTAGAGTAACAGCTAAATTAACGTCTTATGTAAGAATCAGATTAATCATCTGTTGTAACTTTAATTAAGTTTTTTTAAGATTAGAAGAGGCTTGCTTCCCCAGACTTCTGTCTCCTCAAATTATAGATTGCTATAATAATTAGGGGTTTTCCTTTTCACTACTGTAGTAATGCTTGATAGAGTGTTTTTAAATTTTCAAAGTGCTTTCACATCTATTTAATCCTCTCAGCATCCTTATAAAATTGGCAAGGCAAATACTATCGTTGTCCATTTATAGATGAGAAAATCAAGGTACAAAGAAATTATGGCATTATTTTCAGGGTAAACTGGATAAGACTGCAGGTCAGATCTCCTCAACCTCTGCCCCAGGTTCTTTCTTCCAACTTCTTTTAGTGAGAATTTAAGTAAAAAAGTCCTTGTGTTGATTTAGAATTTGGATATTAGAGATTAAATTTAATATTTATTTCTTTTATAATTATTTTGTATCTCTTACCTGTGTTCAATTAAGTTGAACTTGATATTAATCTTTTTCCTTAGGATATTTGTGTACTAAGCCAAAAACTATAGTTGTTTAGAGAGAATTCAGTATTTGGTGACAATAAATATATCCCCATATCCTTTTACCTATTGACAGAACTTAGTATTGAACATATTAAATATAAGTTGGTGTCAAGTATTTTCATATCATAAAGCCTAAAAAAAAGAGTTGTAGATGGGTCTTAAAGCCTGAATCACTGAGCAGCCAACAGTATGTTTGTTTTTTAATTAAATTTTTTGAATGAATTGTAGTTTCCCATGCTGCTGTGTAAGAAATAATGCAGAGACGTTAAACTCATTACTGGATTCACCACTTCTTCCTGTGGTTACATCTTGCAAAGCTATAGTGCAATATCACAACCAAGATGCTCACATTGATATAGCCCAGATACAGAACATTTCCTTAGATCGCTCCGCTGGTAGCCAACAATATGTTCCTGTTTCTTTTGTGCTGCTTTGTGGCGGGTAGGGGCTGATGGTTAGAGTAATGATGTGGCTGTCTTCTGCCATATTGTGCAAGAAAGCTTTGTATTAGCAGAGCAGCTTAAACTCACTTTTCTGGCCCATTGTGACAGTCAGATGGGTAACACAGAGCTGTAGTGTGCTGTGATTAGTGAAGGCTGAGCATCTTTCAGATTGCTATAGTGTGGTCATGCTTGGACTCCTATAGAGTTAGCTGCCTGTGGTCCAGGTGATTTTCCCTCTAGCCTATTTACTCACCAGACAAGGGTGATTTTTACAGATCCATTGTTGTGCCAACTCTCAGCCATGGAAGCATTTGGCCCTTTTGTTACCAAGCCATTAAGTCCTTGGTGCGGTGTCTACCCTTGGTAAACTCCCAAAGTTGGGCTTTTTCAGTCTTGGCCTCATGCCTATTGATGACCTACTCACAGGTAGCACCACTTAACTTGCTGCCAAAATTATCCTTACACCCTTCCTGTAACTCTCATTCCCCTGTGGCCTTCCAGCCAGAAATGCGGTCCTTGGACCTGGCTTCTCAGCAATTATCCCTGACGGGGAAGAACCAGCTGGCTCCTGGAGATATCCTGAGAGCACACAGAGCTTCCCCACACCTTCAGACTTGCACCTTGCTGTCCAGAAGCTGCCCAGCCCTCCTTCCCAACCCACAATGGCCAATGCCAATAGCAGCGCGGGCATCCGGTGGTCCAGACAGGAGACACGAACTCTTCTCTCCATACTAGGCGAGGCAGAGTATATTCAGCGCCTCCAGACTGTGCATCACAATGCAGATGTCTATCAGGCTGTGTCTAAACGAATGCAGCAGGAGGGCTTCCGCCGCACCGAACGTCAGTGTCGCTCCAAGTTTAAAGTGCTGAAGGCATTGTATTTAAAGGCCTATGTTGCCCATGCCACAAGTATGGGTGAGCCACCACACTGTCCATTTTATGATACATTGGATCAGCTTCTCCGAAATCAGATAGTGACTGACCCAGACAACTTAATGGAGGATGCTGCTTGGGCCAAGCACTGTGATCAGAACTTTGTGGTCTCTGATGCCCCAGGGGAAGAGGGAACCAGCATCCTAAAATCTAAAAGGACTCAGGCAGCTGAACATCAGCCTATCTTGAAAACAGTTAAGGAATCAGATGAGGATTGTCAGCTAAGAATCAGTGACCGGATACGAGAAACCAGTGACCTTGAGGACTCCTGGGATGAATCCTCGGGTGCAGGTAACTCCCAAGCATGTGAAGGATTCGGGTCCCAGAGTCACGTGGCTCTAAAAAGCTGTGTCTGGATAGTGTCCTCTTCAGCATAGTTCCTGTTTCTGCCTCATTCTGTCCCACCACCTTTTTAAAAACCTAATACTGAACTCAAGGGCTCCAGGTTTTCAAAACCTATGCCCCTAGCTACATAAGATATTAGAACTCTTTAAACCTAGAAATGCTCTTTAGAACCAAACTAATTCTGGCATTATTTGTCATGGATAGTTAGGAACTGGTAGGAACTAGGGTGGGCTGGATAGTTATGTACAAAGGGGTTCAGGAAGGCAAGGGAGAAGTTTTAGAGGTGAAATTAAACAGACCAAAATGTTCAGATTAAGGAAATGGATTCTTCCCAGTCCCTGGTGGAAAGAGGCCTTTCCAGAAACAACCGTAGTTTTATAATTGTCTCTCAGCTCTACTGCTGGCTCCAAACATTCCCTTAGCAGGAATGTCCTCTTTGCAACATTGTTGCTTTGTTTTTCAGGGTGCTCTCAAGGGACCCCCAGCTACAGCAGCTCCCACAACCTTTTCAGAGGTGCAGTTGCTCCCTGTCAGAGCAGCCCCATGGCCAGACTGGGTGTGTCTGGGGAGCCCAGCCCCTGCACCAGCACCAGCCACAGCACTCCTGGGGTAGCCTCCACTCCGCAGACTCCAGTCTTCTCTTCCAGAGCTGGTTTTGTTTCTGGTGGGGATAGGCCCTTGACCAGTGAGCCCCCTCCAAGGTGGGCAAGGCGAAGAAGGCGGTCAGTGGCCAGGACTATCGCAGCTGAGTTGGCAGAAAACAGGCGATTGGCACGAGAACTCTCAAAGCGGGAGGAAGAAAAACTGGACAGGCTGATTGCTATTGGTGAGGAGGCCAGTGCTCAGCAAGACACTGCCAATGAGCTCCGCAGGGATGCTGTCATCGCAGTCAGACGTTTGGCAACAGCAGTGGAAGAGGCAACTGGTGCTTTTCAGCTAGGCCTTGAAAAATTGCTTCAGAGGTTGATTTCAAATACCAAAACTTAGGAACTGATTACAAAAGGCTCTGTTTCCTAAACTGGTATAAGTCTAGTTCCAAAACCTGCCTTCTGAATCCCTGGCTCCTTTTCTGTGTCCTCAGAAAAGAAACATGGATGAACCATTATTATCCACATAGTATGACTATTCTTACTAGTTCGTTTTCCCCAGATTCTCCACCAAATGGAAGACCTTTCAGAAACACAAGGGGTGGCCAAGTTCTAGAGAGCTGGTTTGTCCTAGCTTTGTCACAGATGTGAAACAGTTTACCTCTCTCCAGCGGTTTCTTCGTCTGTAAAATGGGAATCAATAATAACTCCTGCCCTGCCTACCTCACAGGGTTGTTGTGAGGATCACATGACTCAGATGTGAAAGAGTTTAAAAGTTTAAAAGCACTATACACATTCAAGTTATTGATGCATATGGCCTTGGCTGAGGTAAGGCACATTAGTTTACAAGATACGGGAGTATGGATGTATACTGTGACTTCATTGCTTGAATCTTTCCTTTGCTGGTTTAACTTGATTGCTTCATGGAGTTTGAAATCTTAATTTTTAAAATCCTTGTGTGGCTCATTAGACTTGTATAGTCACAACCCGTATTTGTACCTTAATCTCATACGTTTCCACTGCTGTCTCTGACATATCTACTAGCAAGCACTCTTTTAATAGTCAAACCATTTTCTCTCCTTCGTTTTACTGGCTCTTAATCTCGTAGCAATATAAGGAAATAAGAAGTGACAGGGACCCACTATAGTTTGTTATGGTTTATATCAATAATCTTCAATATAAAACATTGGCCGTTTTATAAAATATTAAATGTAAGGAAATTCTTTGCATTTCATACTATTTGGGTCCCTTTAGATGCTTAAGTTACATCTTTTAAATTTCAGTTGCCATTTGAACATTGTAGAAACAATTTAGATTATATCAGTTTCCAATCTGCTTTTAGCTGATTTCATTCTTTTCTGTTATTTTTTTATCTAGTATGTTATACAGGGCAAGCCCTAGAAAACTTTCCTTTCAAGGAGGTTTCCAAGGTTACTTTTCCTCAGATGTTGTAGACAGAAGTTTGTGTAGTTGACGGCATCTGGTAGAAGAGAAAAGCTTTGTTTCCCCCTTTAACTTTGGGAAGAGTAGAGGATGATGTGGATAAAGATTGTCTGCAATAGATGACTTCTTTTAAGCACTAGCCCTGAACAGATAAGTCCCGTCCTCTCCCCTAGACACACTTTGGGAGAGATGAAGGTGATAAGTGACACTTTCGATTTACTCTAGAAGGGAAGCCATTATTGTCTGTCATTAAACTAACTTAAAGCTTTCAGTGGTTTACGCAGTACTTGTTGGAATACAAATAGGAATCTTTGGAATTTAAAAGTTTTCCCGTAGTCTAGAAGCTGGAAAAATGAAAAAAGAGTGGGCATGTTGAGAGAGGGTTTATTTTCTATTTTTGCAAGCTCGAGTGCTTAGCTAAATGTTGGAAATGTACTTGGGTGGAGAAATGTTCGGAGCAGCAGTAGAAACATACCCAGAACCATGAGTAGACGGCAAGCGGGCTGCTATGCCAACCCAGGGGTGGAGGTGTGAGGCGGCTGGCGTGGTAGAATGTGCTGGGATCTAGTTAGAATTCCTGGACTTTCACGAATCCTGTCATAGTTTGTTTCATCAGGCAAATCACTTGCCCTTTTCTATTATTATTATTTTATTTATTTATTTATTTTTTTTTTTGAGACAGACTCACTATGTTGTCCAGGCTAGAGGGCAGTGGTGCACTCTCGGTTCACTGCAACCTCTGCCTCCCAGGTTCAACTGATTCTCCTGCCTCAGCCTTCCGAGTAGCTGGGATTACACACGTGTGCTAATTTTTGTATTTTTAGTAGGGACAAGGTTTCACCATGTTGGCTAGGCTAGTCTCAAACTCCTGACCTCAGGTGATCTGCCCACCTTGGCCTCCCACAGTACTGAGATTACTGGTGTGAGCCACTGTGCCTGGCCAATTCATGCCTCAATTTCTTCATCTCCAGATTGAGGGATTCGTAGTAGATGATTTTTTTTTTTTTTTTTTTTTTTTTTTTGCGCTAGTACCTTCCAGCTCTAAAAAAGTTTGAAATAACATAATAAAAGGCAACATGAAAGTGAAATTTTAATCGTAATATTTTCTGTCACAGGAGCATATGTATATTTCAAATACTGGTAACAATTATAGCGTTCTGTGGTATTAATATTTATTAATATGCTTATGAACTTGTAAGCACCACACCAGACATACAGACTCTTTGCTTTAAAGGAGCATATATTTAAGACATTAAAATAGCTACAGCTATATTCCTTTTCTCAATTGTCTTAAGCTACTATATGGAAAGATATGTGTCAATAATAGGTAGTTAGGTAGATTTTCTGGAAAAACTGAAGTACTTGAAAGAGAATTAGACCTGTATTCTATAAATCTATTAATGGTAGCAAAGTGCATAGACAGGAATTTCTTTGAGATGAAAGGAATGCTGCAGAAGAGAAATGGAATTAAAGTTTGGACATAGTATTGTGAAATTCAATGGGTAAAGTAACCTTAATGTGGGAATAAAAGTCAAGGGAAAGGTCTTGAATAAGTAAACGAAAAACAGGCTAAAAATATTAAGGGGAGGGAAATCATAATACAGGGAGACAGTGTGCAAGAAAGCAGACAACCAGGAATCTGCCTATGTGGTGGACCGAACCGTTACTACCTGAACCCCCCTTTCCAGCATTCCATAACTCAGGTTCCTCATTTATAAAGTGGGAAACTCATAATTGTCCTACCTACCTCACAGGGGTGTTGTGAGGATCAAAGGAACGGATGAATATATGAGCACTTTCAGATGTGTCAGGCACCGTCATGTAATGAGTGGGGGAAAGACCCTGGAGCACGAGTGATACACAACCATAGGATTAACTGTGCCTCCTCAAGTCCATCATGTAAACAAGGTGCTATGTATAACAACTTCCCACCACTTTTGTCTTTCTGTTCAATAATCCTGGTGTGAACAAATAAAGTTTTCACTTGTATGTGGTTATGGGTCAGTCCGCTAGTTTGGTATGATGTCTTTGATCCTTTGTTGCCTCCATTCTGTACATTGCTTTTTTCTTCTCTGCTAAGTGTTTTGTCTGTCTGTGGCCTTTGGAGCTACATGTGCTTTCTGTCTTCAGATGACGGCAGCCCTCTTTATACGGCAATTGAGAAATAATTTTCCATTTCTAAGAGTTCTGTAAATTCCGTACAATATCCTTGCTGGCACATTCTGTTGTCTAAGTGGTAGACAGCCTACACATAATAGTGTAAATTGTCCTTGTTGACTTAAATTCTAAAGGAAATAGAACTAGTAAGTGTCATGCTGAAATTCTAATATTGGTACAAAACCCACTATGAGCCACAATTTACGTAATAGTGTAAATTGTGGTTGACTTAAATTTAAAGGAAATAGAACTAGAACTTCTAATATTGGTGCAAAACCCATAATGTCTTAAATATATACTCCTTTAAAACAAACTTTATCTTTTCTTCCTACTCTTAAAGTGTTTGGGATGTAGTTATTAAATACTGAGCTTAGGAAAAGAAAGAAGCAAAGAGTTTAATGGAGAGAATACTGAACTTTGTATTGAAGGTCTGGATGCCAGCCAATCATGCCATTAGCTGTGTGACTTTGGGCAAGCTACTTAGTTATCTCCTGTCCTGTTGATATTTTAGGTGATAGAGAAGGAAGTAAGAGGAACCTGCAAGTATTTCAGAATTCTAAGCAAAATTAGTCCATTTTAAACCCCTTTTGCCTGCCTTTTTTTTTTTTTTTTTTTTGAGACAGAATCTCCCTCATGCAGGCTGCAGTGCAGTGGTGCCATCTCGGCTTACTGCAGCCTCGCCTCCCGGGTTCAAGCAATTCTCCTGCCTTAGCCTCCTAAGTAGCTGGGATTACAGGTGTGCTACCATGCCCAGCTAATTTTTGTATTTTTAGTAGAGACAGGGTTTCACCATTTTGGCCAGGCTGGTCTTGAACTCCTGACCTGGTAGTCCACCTGCCTCGGCCTCCAAAAGTACTGAGATTACAGGCGTAAGCCACCACACCAGGCCTTCTCTGCCTCTTAACAAGTTAATGTCCCTAGATGCTCTGTAACCCTTCAGCAACTAGCCACTATTAATTTTCAACTTCTCTTATTAAACATTTAAGGCTGGCCTCCAAATAGAATAGTCACAGCTCCTTGGAAGAAGGGTTTAATGGAAGGGTACTAGTCTATTTTATCTTAATTTCTAGATGACATTAAGCCAAGAATTAAAGATTTCTGTCGCTGCTCAAGGAACAGAAGTACTATGATCATATACAAGATTAGTGGGAGGCAACTTGGTAAAGTATGAGCAATAGCAGCCTGATAGAGAATACCTGTGCCAACCTACTGGCTCTGCTCCTTGTTAGCTTATAAGTCATTGCCCTGCTCTGAAGCGCTTTATCTCTGAAATAAGACCTGCCAGACACACCCCACCTAGGTGTTGTGAGGCTAAGGTGAGATAATGCATATGAAAACATTTTGTAGACTGCATAAGTTGCTTAAATCTGTTTACATATGCATATTTGTAGTACCCCACACCTTTCTATAAACAGCATTCCTAGTTTTGCTCAACCTTTTGGTTTCTGGAGTTGGTGCGTGTTCAGAAACCAAGCAACAAAGATGGTCTTAGCTACTGTGGTTTGCTCTTAGTTTGCAACCTTTCATCTCAGTGGTTGGGTCTTCAGAATCACAGGTGTGAAAGTATGGTATAAAATTGTGGCTATTATAAACAGTACTTCAAAATATATAGCATCTATTAATAGCAAGGCCAGAACAAGAAAGCTACTTTCAAATGCAAAGATTAGCACTTTAGTAGAATTACTGTAACCCTTATAAATATTCCATTTTTATCTTCTGTAACATTTGAAGACTTTTAGTATTAAGCAGCTTAATAATTTTGTTAATATTTTAATATTTGTTCAATGATAATTGAGAAATACAGTGTACTTTAAACTTTATATATCTCCAATACTGATTTTAATACTTAGCTATCTTTATCTTTCTTTATGGACAGCTCCAATGATCCACAAGCTCAGAAATATATCACGGAAAGTAAATGTTTAGTGAGTATGGTTCTATTATTGCTTCCCTGTTATACAGAGTAATTACCAAGGCCATAACATATAATGTTGATTCAAAACTTTGCACTGTTACTAAAAATTATATAGTATAATTATAATTTATTTTATAGGTCATTGAAAAAAATGGGAAATTACGATACGAAATTTGTACTGGAGAAGAAACAAAATTTGTTAACCCAGAAGATGTTGCCAGACTGATATTTAGTAAAATGAAAGGTATTGAGCAAAAGATATATGACAGTTACCTTTAATGATCTTTTGAAAGTTGACCTTAAAAAAAATAGTTAGAGGCATTTTTAGATCTTGGGAGAAGCAGAGTGATTGAACAGATAAGTAAAGACACACAAACCGTAGACCTGGTTGGGATGCTAATTGGCTTTGTGCCCTTGCCTTCCCTGCCTTTGATTTCACTATAAGTCATATAAATTGATTAGGCCAAATAAGAGTTTTCAAAATACATTTAGCGTCCAAGTAAGCTTGGTGAATAGTGGCACTTCAAGATTGACAATATACTGTAAACAATAATTTAGGCAGATTAAGTAGGTCTGATTTTTATCAGCAATTTTGACAAAGGCTCTGAGCGAGTGGTACTCTGTGAAACAATTTGAGAAATTCTGGAATAGATTTGTTTATAAGGCTCCCTTCAGCCCTGGAATGATGTTAAGAACTTGTGGGATGGAAGGCATCCTATTTAAATGTAGGGAACTAACATTATGACGTTGTGTCTTCACACGGATGCATTAGGAGCTCATTCTCCATGGAGTCACTCTACTTTAGAAGATGGTTAACAGTGAAGCCTAAGAGCCAGGCTCTTTAGAAAGCTAGTTCTATGTCTAAAAGATATTACCAAAACCGCAAGAAGTGCTTCATGATTTAAGAACGCAGAGAAGAAAATTGACATGAGGCAGGAGGTGGGGCAAGCAAGTGCATTGGAAAATATGTTTAGTGAGATCTGTGTCATAAATTAATAAATCTTAAAGTATCACTTGTCATTTTTTTCATCAGAATTTTATATTTTTTCATATACAGAAACGGCACATTCTGTATTGGGCTCAGATGCAAATGATGTAGTTATTACTGTCCCATTTGATTTTGGAGAAAAGCAAAAAAATGCTCTGGGGTAAGTATATGGGGTTTATCTTAGTGGCTTAATTAAAAGAAATACAAATTTCACAAAAATCGCTATTTAGTAAAAGGTAACATATTTGAATGTACATTAGGCAATAAAATTGTATTTGTAAATAACTTAGTAAG